ATATATATATATATATATATATATAAAAGGGAAAAACAGCAAGTAATGCTGTTCCGGGTAAAACAGCAGAATATACGTCAATCGAGCCCTACGGGACGTCGGACAGAGAATCCAGCAGAGGAACAGGGTAGGCAGAGGCAGAAGCGAGCAGATGTGGAGCACCAATAGGTCCAGTCACATGTGCAACTGGATAGGAGTCCTGCTCCCCACAAGAGACCAGCTACGAAACGATGTAGCCATTCCCACTAGTCCAGGCCTGCGGAACACCTCCAACAGGTGCAAAATATGTAGATAGGAAAGTGGTAGAGTACCCAGGGTATACTCAGTGGTTAAGAGCTAAAACAAGAAGGTGGGACAGCAGAAGGTGGAACAGCTGGCTGGTTCTCTGCATAGTAATTTGAATGCTGGTACACTCCTACTATAGGCTATCGATAGAAGTCCTTGGACCCAATTGCATGAAGCCTGTCGACACAAATGCAGTTCACCTTAGTAGTGCGTTTGTACAGGGGAGAATTTTCACAAGGATTTTTGCATGTTGTCGACGTTGCCTAGTAGCGAGCGAAGCACGCGCGGTTGATAGTTGGGCTTAGTAGTACACAGTAGGATCCACCTAGAAGTAGCGCTGAAGGGCAACCTATCTAGTTACGCACACCGTCTTCTTGCTTGTATACGAATGGTGCTTCGGGCTCACAACAGCCCGTTGAGGGCGGTCCAACCAATGGCTCGCATCCTAGCGCTGCTCCCACCAGTACCGCGGGGCATCGTGACGACCACTAGAGCTTGATTTTTCCAATAAATTAGTCGAAAATCTGCATTTCGTGCAAGCAACCTCTGCGAGACGAACCACTTAAGTGCTTGCCTTGGTTAGCGACCCCGCAAAACTCAATGGGCGAGGCCCCGTAAGGCCGCTTCCAGACGCCAATACTTGCTGTGCTGCTACTCTCAAAGGATTAGTTTATTATTCTAGCACAGGCTAAGTGTTGTACATGGAAAGGAATTGGGACAGAGTTAACAACAGCTGCAGCCAAGGTACACCCCGGCAGCCCCCGTCAACTCTCCGAGGTGCCAATACAGGGGGGAATACGGGACTTGGCCGGGCCATCAGCCGGCCACAATGAATTATTAAGTAGGAAACAGGAATTTTCTTGACCTGAGGAGACGATTAAGGGGATAAGGGGGAATGTCGTATTGTTTTTACAATCAACATGCCTCTGAGCTACACTCGCGACTGAGCAGCTGCAGGCGCCCACAACCCAACCGCAGCTGCCTGTGGAACCAGCAGCCATGAACGCTCATTTCTGGGCTTATTTGTTGTCCCAAAAGAGTTGCATTTGTATTATAATTGCAAGGGGGTGCCCTCAAGTTGCTTTGGATGCTTGCGATCCGGTTTCCGCTTTTGCCACTGATACTGGACAATCGAGGTGGTGAGAAGCCTGTGTTAGCTGGTGGGACACGCGGCCGAGCAGGGCAAGCAACAGCGTCGGAAAGCTTCCACAACCAGCATAGACAGAGGGTATTTTACCTCGTCTGTCCTGGTTGAAAGCAATCGACAGTCATCATGATAGCTGCGGACGCTCAGCAGCGCAGCGACTCTCCCTCCCATGTGGTGTCTGTCGCTGCTGCTCATGGCACTTCTCATCTCCTTGAAGGGGCTGAAGGCTTCCGTTTAGGAGATGACCTGGATCATACACAGGTTGTGCACATCGCCTGTCACTGTTGCAACACCACAAACGCCTTAATTTGCAGTAAGACGCCGGACGGCGCTTGGCTGCTGCGCCGAGCACCTGCAGTACCTGTTGCTGCTGCTGGCAATGTTGAGTACCAAGGTAACTCTAGCTCGTTAAACACAGGAGGGGATATAGGAGAGGGACCTAGCGGGACCACGGATGTTGACACCAGGGCCACGGATTCCGAAAAGGAGCGGGAGCAGGAGGGTTGTATCAGAGTGACCGTACACCCGGCACTAGACAGTAGTAACCAAGAAGTGTGTTCCACAGTGAGTGAAAAGGAGGGCAGTGGAGGTGGCTGTTCACAAAAGAACCAGGCAGGGACTTCACCTCGCTTTGCAATTCAGCAAGCAGCTCCGGTACCAGCTGTGGCGGCTGTGGCAGCCGTGGCAATAGCAGCACCGGAACCGAAGAGGGATGCAACTAAGGCCGACCGTGGCTTGCGACCTTTGGCGAGAAATTCCAATTCCTCCACGTGCTCCTCGTGGGAGGGAGGAGACACAGGGGCGGGAGATGAGCTCGCCAGTCCTCTGGGAGCTCCGGCTGCAATCCAGACTGCGCCGATTCATGAGTTCAAACAACCTCCGGTTTTAGACCGAGAGCAACAGACAGAGCAGGGCCAACTGCGTGAGCCGGAGAGGCAACAGACTTCGGAGCAGCTGCTCCCGCAGCAACATCCGAGTGTAGCAAGGAGTTCTAGCAACAGCAGCCTCAAGAGTCAACAGATCCACGACGGCGATGTCGTGCGGGCTAGTGTCTCCAAAGAGATGGGACACCATCAACGAAGCAGCAGCAACAGCCCCATTGGGAAGAAGGCTTACAGTGACGGGGAAACCTCTAGAGTCTGCCCGAAGCTGGCAACTATCAAGGAACTCCAGAAACCCATGAAAAAGCAGCCACCACACCTGGAAACAGAGCCCCAAGAAACTGTGGAAGGAATGAGACAATGCAGCCCTGCTTGCAAGAAAAGTGCCACGAACGATAGCATGAATAACAGTTGCAGTAGCAACGACAGCAAGAAGGCACAACAGGACTCCGCCATTGCGGCGATGGCCCCATACATGTTGACGCGTGAGTGTGAGGGTGATGGAAATTGCCTCTACCGTGCGTTTTCTGACCAGGTACGCCATTCCTTCTATGCGGGCAGAGGCCATCTTGAAACGCTACAGGCGATACCGTTGCAAGCTGTCCGTTAAGTCTTCCTGTTCTTTTTAGATGCTCTGTAATTGCTGGCAGGTCTATGGAACCCAGGAACATCATTTGTTCTTGCGAAGGCTTGCTGTTGATGTAATGGTAAGGCACATCCGACAGAGGCAGCATGATGGTATCGTGTGGCTAGACTTCATAGGCCTGTCTGCCTGCTTGCCCCTCCCTCTCCTATGATGCAGTCGAGGTGTAAGGACATATTTGAGGCGTTTGTGGACGAGAGCGAGGGGCCCTTTGAGCGTTGGCTGCAAACTAAAAGGACCTATGGAGGTAGTTGACACCTACATCTAAATTCACGCGTGCTCCAGAGTTACCCAGTAGATGGTTAGGACAGTTATGTGACTAGCGCCGTATATAAGGGCACAGGGCGGTAAGGAAAGGCACCCCGTGGCACTCTTGAGAAACGGGCTAAAGGGCCTGGGAACAGATGCTAGAGCCGGAAGCACCAAACCGAATAACACTAGGTGCCAACGCAGGCGGCAGGCCCACGTTTACCACTTATTTGGGCGTAAACGCGATCTGTGGAGGAGTGTGGCGGACGATGGCAACCAACCTGTCCATTTGCATGCCTGACGCAGGCTGGTTTGGCCTTCTTTTGTATTCAGTGAAGATTTTCCTTTATTCATCTGATGCGTGCTTGCGTCGCCTGCCTATTCCGGGCTCGCTGCTTTTTATGTGGCGTGCGCGCAGAGTGGGCGGACTACAGGGAAATGCATGCATTATTGTTGTTGTTCGGCACCCCAGTCTTTGTTTTCGACGAACACCTTCATTTGTTGCAGACCTTCGAGCCAGATGCAGAGAAGAGGAGGCTTCCAAGCAAGGAGGGCGAGTCCCTTACTCCCTTCCGACTGATGTGGCACGGCAAATTGGGGCACTACACTTCCGTACGTCGACTAAATGCACATAAATGAGGCAGAGGTCGTTAGGCAAAAGTCGCTTTAGACTAGATGGTCCAGCGGCTCCAGTGGGAGCTGGCAAGGTTTGTTACAGGGGCAGATATGTGTGTCGGGAATCCCTGAGTATAAGAGTGCTGTAGTAGTTTGTGTTGTGGAGAAGCCCCCTGTCATCCATCCAGCTTGGGTGTGTGTTGCTGAACTTGCCTACAGCTCCATTACGTGAAGGAAGGCTTCCCGATAGCTCGCGGTCTTACGATTGGCAAGCTGGAGGCTGAGGGCTTAGCAAGACTGGTTCTGTCCGCTTCTTCAGGGTTTTCTAACTGCTCGACAGCAGACGTTGCACCCAAAGCATCGCGCAAGGAGCCCAGTGGAACCCCTGCGGGTCTTGAAGAGGAGGCCCTAGCGAAATGCCTACAGGTAAGCGCACAGGAACTGGCGGGAATTGCAGCTGAACAGGAGTGCATTCTTGCCGCCATAAAGCAGCAGCGCCTGCAGCAGTTGCTGCCGCAGACAACCAAGATCGTGAACGAACTCTGGAACGAAGCAAAGAAAGAGCAGGAGGCCTGGACCACCCGCGTTGCTCAGGGTGTACGGGGTTCTCCATTGGTGGCCCCTGCGAGCGACCCATCGTTTCACCACAGCATGCCTGGAAGAACCATGGAGAGACGACTACCTCCAACGGCAAACGCAGCATCTGCTGGGACAGCAGAAGGCGGCACTGCCAACTTTCAGACATACTACTCGTCTGGCAGAGCCTACCCTGAGCCCCTTCCAGCGGTCGTAGGATCTCCCATAGGTGTTCCCAGCGGAAAGAACGGGAGCCCCACTGGTAGGGACTTGAGGCAGATGGGGGGCACTGCAGGGCTCTGGCGTGAAGATCGCCCTGGCCAAACTGCCAGGTACGAAAGGCCACCACAACAAATGCGGCAGGAGCAGCTGAATGTGAGGCAGCAAGGTACTCCTGCGGCATCGCCGCCTATAGTGTGCCACAGCCAGGGGCCGTCAGGACCCGTTCTTATCTCATCACCAGTAGGCCCTGCCCTCGTCACCACCTCAGCTCGAGGGTTGCCGGCGACTACAACGCCTAGAAGCTTTGCATATACCCATCAGTTCGCACCTCACAACGAGTTTCTTGAACAGCAGCGGCACTGTGTTCGATTGGCAGACGGCCGCCTTGTCGCGCTGGCCCCAAGTGGGGCTTTGGGACCCGTTCGGCATGTCACTCTCCAACAGCAGCGTTACACCGGCCACACTCCGCAGCACGTGCTTCCCGCAAGAGCAATTGCTGTAAACGGCCCGCGACAAAGCACAAACAGCAGCAGCACTACCCAAACGGACGACAGTGCCCCGTGGTTCGTGAGGTGGATGGGCAGTGGCAACAATAGTCAGGGGAGGTGATGTCGCCACAGTTACAAAGCTTTAGTCCCGTATTTTCCCAACAGCAGTGACAGGGCAGACTGTAGGGTCTGGATATGCATAATGCTGCAAGCTACAGTGAAGGCAGAGTTGCTTCCGCACCAGTAGCTGCCCGTGCGGAGCCCCATGCAGCGACCAGAGAGGCAAAACCAATAAATCAAGAGTGCAAGTTGATCTCCTTTTAAGTACTGCACCGCCCGCATTGCCGCCGCTGACAGCCTAGGTTAGGTACCTAAAAGGAGCAAATAGGGCAGTTTGAGGCACAGAGTGCAGTTTGCGGCAGCAAGCAGCCTGCGCACTTCGTTATTGGGTTGTTTACCGTCGCTGCTCACTGAGGCCTGTTGGAGTTACCCAATGCTCTGGTGGGTCCCGGGGGAGTTCTCTCCAGACAAGCAAGTGGTATTCGAGCCTTGGTTGCGGCGACTGTAAAGGCGTTATGTAACCACGGCAGTGTACCCGCTGTAAAGGCGTTATGCCATGGGGAGCCCCCGCTTAGCAGAGGGTGGAACTGGTGATTTTGTTCCCTAGAGGCAATAACAGCAGTAGAATGACGCACCAGCGCCACCAACATGGCAGTGTAGGTGTAACCTGGGGGGCCGCTCAACCCAAGGACCGTTCTCAGGATGGAGACAGAGGAGAGTTCGAGTCCTCTAGGTGCTGGGACCTGACAAATCAAAAGAACCCCAAAGTGAGACCATACGTAATCCAACATCATAGTGGACCATAATCGTGGACTACCTTCTGAGGCCCAATAACTCATAGCCGCCTTGTCTTATTAGCTTCTCCACGAAGGCAGACTCTGGGGCCTCATGCTGCAAGCTGTCCACGGCGTGTTGCTCGTGAGATTCCTGCTCAAGCTGTTGGTTTTCCGCCTCTGCCTGCGCCTCTTGCATCCTTCGGAGGAAATACATTATACCGAGAGACACCAAGATCAAAATGACAAGGGGTTGACGCACCAAGTCCAATATACTGAATCCTCCATGCGCCGGGAAGTACCGAAGGACCCCCGTGGGCCCCACCTTGAGAGGCATAGGCAAAGGGGCCAGAGTTGACGGCACAAGATATTCGTTCAGCACATATACCTCACTGCTGCTGGCGCTCGTCGTGATGATCCGGTACTTGGGGAAGATTAGCCCCGGGTGCAGCACCTCCAGAAGGTACGATCCTGGCAGCAGCGGCGGGATTCGGAACTCTGCTGAGGGACCAAGAGACCCTAAAGAAATACCGTTTACACCCGAGTTCTTCCCGGAACCCCCTCCTCTCGGGAATGCCGGCAGCAATGTTGCATTTCCAAGCTGAATCCCGTTTAATGTAATTGTGAGGCCAGGTGTCTGTGAAGGGTCGCAGAAGATGTGGCCCCACACCGCCTGTCTCATTGGCTCCATATTTTCGCTATAGGCTGAGATCCCAAGAGATCCTAAGGCACCTACTGCTGCCGAAAGGCAGAGGAAAACCATACCCACAAACAAGCGGTGGGCCATTGTCTCCTGAAAAACGGGGTGATTCTAGGCCGAGTATATGCCTGAATGATCTCTCTATGACGTTTAGCAAGAAAATAACTGCAATGACTGTTTTAAATTCCGGAGCAGGCCTCATCAACCGCATTCAGCGGAACAGTGGACACCAGAACATCGGTTGGGAGGGTCCCGTAGAAATAGTTAGAAAAGTAGAACCTGGTCCGTGAGGTGAACATGGAGATGATTACTGAGCCAATAACCCTTTAAAGGAGGAAAAACCACAAAAACAATGTGATGGAGGAGGTTCCGTTGCGGCGACCCTTCCAGGGGCCAGAGCAAGGGCCCCTCCTGGAGAACGTGGGACGTCCAAAGGGCACCGCCTCCACTTCCGGCATTGTCTTTAGTTTTCTATGTAGCATTGCTTACTATTTACTATTTAAAATGTATCCAGAAGCACCTCCGGAGAAGCGTAGCTCCACATCTACTCCCAAACCCTTCACACGTCTCTCTCTCCACAACTGCCCAGCCAATCCTACGGCTCAACCCTCGGGGAGCCGATAACATAGGTTCGGATGCATCTAGCTTATTCCTGTACGGCTATAAAAAGGGGCAAACCACCCAAGGCTTCGGGGTGTAAAGGGCCGAGTAACACCAGTCTCCCTTAACGAGCCTGTAGGCATCATCCCGCGCCGTTCAGTCATAAAAAATTGGTAAAATTAAAACTAGGCCTCTCAAAGGCTGTTCATTGGAGCCTAAATACTGCCGAATACAGCACCCATATATCCCTCTAAGTAGTATGAACGCCCCACACCACTGTGCACGCGTTCTAGATCAGAAAAGTCATGAAACGGAGAGTGAAGCCGACGCAGAGACTGAAACAGCTGGTCTTGCAGTGGAATAGGCTTCGGCTGTCCTGCTAGCTTCAGCCCTCAGTATGCCCTCAGATAAGCGTAAGTCCATCTGTCCTAGCTAACTGCATAGCTAACTGCATTTCTGTGAACACCAACGGAGCACCCGCTTATGCAAGGGGAAGTCCCGGTGTAGACGTTACTGAAATTTGAAAGCACCGTCACGTTTTGCTGTGGATGTGTCGCATGACATCAGTACACCTCTCGCACGCAAACGGAGATTCCTGTGTCGCTTCCGGAATGTCATCCGTCCCTGCTGACGCATTTCCTTCGGCTTTCTGTGAAGCGTCTTCAGGGCTTTGAGCCACTGAAGCGTCACTGGTTGATGGTACAACCCGCATCCAGCACCTGCACAGAAACGCCGACAGCGGAGAAGTGGCACTATTCTAATGCTTTCACGAAGTGGCGCCTACAGGTGACTCGGATCGAAGGCTAACGCCTGAGTTTTCTGCTCCTGTCATTGCCGATGTTTGCTGGGGAAACTTCCTCTTCGACAACCTCACGTAAGCCCCGCTGACCTCTGGCATCTCTGCCCCTGCGCACTGTACAGCTTCATATCCAAACCCGAATTCGAAGCACTGCCGTCCACAGAAGCTAAAATAGCCTCCTCTGCAAGTTGCTCTTGCTTTGGAACCCCGCCAGAAATCCTAGGCGTACGAATTTCAACGTCGGAACACTGGATTAGCCAACGGAGATCATCGACGTAAGAACGCATTGCGTTTGCTTCTTGTTGGCCCGGGAATGGCGTAGAAAATGGTGCTGGCCTTAGAAGCTTAGACTTTGGCAACAATCGCTGTAACTGATCGAATATCGCTTTCGTCTGTGCGCAATAAAGCAAGTACAAGATCCCAGACTGCGCAGTGTACCTACAGATGCCGAGGATGAGCTCTATTTGGCTCATCGTTCAATCAACGTCTGCAAAAGAATTTCCCAAAAAAACATACCACTCCCCGTTACACACACGAAGAATACTTTTTAGAGATGGCGGCTTTTTTCAGCAACTAGGTGCTCACCGGAGCCGTAATACTCAGCTTCAGATCATTCAGGGAGCCAACTCGTGATACCCTCCCGGGGATGGCGTTCTGGAGCTGCCGCGCCCTGGTAAAAAGAGCGTGCATGTCTTGGCGCAACAGCAGCAGCAGACCCCACAACTGCTCCGCCTCCTGCACAATGGCGGGCTGTGCAGACAGGCGCATGCGAGGCCACCCTACCTGCAACAAACGAAACCGCAGTAGGCAAGGGGATCCATTTAAAGAATGATCCGATCCAGATGACGCATGACACCCTAAGACAGCGAATTCGTAGCTTTGCAGGTGAAAAGGGGTAGCTATACAGCATACACAAACCAGTGGCAATGGGTATGCCACAATAAGAAAACGTTTCAACCATGGAAAATGACGCACTTGAAACGCAGACGTCAGTGGTCCGCAAAGACCGAGTACATTCGCAAACCTTTCGCCTTCTGGGCCCAAGGCCTCCAAGATCTTGCTACTACGGTGTACAGCAAGCGCTTCCCTGAGAGTCCTGGGCATTCTGAAAAAAACCTCTTCAGCCAGATGAGGAGTCAGAGGAGATACGAGCTGTGTCAGTACTAGCAGCACCATAACAAGGACTGTCTGTTCTCACACACACGGGACAGCACGACGCTAACAAGAATCTGCCCCTCGGCTGCTTGATGGTTTGGCAGAAAAGTTCTAAGAGGGGATGACCGGGGACAAAAAACACACTTGAGACAGAGCCGGAGACAGGGGCAGAGAGAGACACAAACAATTGGCAATGTAGTAACTCTCACCTGGCAACTGCGTCTGCGGTAGCCATTAGGATGGTCAACGTAAAGTCTATCCTTTGCCACTTCAATAAATGTGGCTGACAAGTCCTCGGAGATGAACCGAAGCAGCAAGCGTAAAGCCTACGGCAAACCGACGGGACGCAGCAGACCTGAGGCCCGGTTCATTTACACCCACACCTGTTGAAAACATCCCTTCCACGAGCACTAGCCACAGAGCCAGCACCGCTTGTATCAACATCTTTGGCGCATGCAGAGCAGTAAAGGAACATAATTCCCCAGCAGTACCTTGTTGTGCTGGAAGATATCGTAGGCCTTTCCTACATCTCCTGCTAATGCCTGTAACCTCAGCAGCATCCCTATGTCAAAGAGGGGTAGTTTATCCACGGGGACTGCGTCCTGAAAATGCGCAAACTCCCAAATATTAGTCACGCTGACGCCATCAAGCGCCAGCTACACCAGAATCCACGACGCCAATATCGGAAGCAGCAAATACTCCACTCAACGACTGAACTGCCGCAAGCGGAACGCAGACGTTCCTTATGAGGCTCACGAAACTATTTGTATCTGTTTCTGGTATGTTTGCTGCGCCTGCTGCTGACTCTCCGGTACATTCCTCTCGGCGCTGCCTTTCCTGATCACCCGTGCCTCTTTTGCAGCTGCGCTCGATCCTTACCGCATTGATATCGAAGTCATGGAGAGAGCCAACGAGGTACTTGAATGCGTTTCTAAATTTGACATACGTAGCACTGGCTGCGTGCACTGCTGTGTGTTTGTCCTGGCGGTGCTCCTCGGAATCTCCAGAAGGACACGCCATGTCTCCTCCACAATCAAGGGAACTCACAAACAAACGCAACACATCCGCGCCAAACGTCAGTTGGGCATCTTTCCGCTGCTTCCTTACACGATGCGCGCCTTGCAGCTGTTGTGTAGAGGAATCGCTGTGTGCATGGGGTGGCTTCCCCGCCGTAACTGCTGCCATGTCCTTTTCGGCGGAGAAGAAGATGTCTGGAGAGAGAGCATTTCCCTTCGACTTGCTCAGTTTGTTGCCCTACACTCAACATCCCGCAAAGCGCACTATTATGCGCCCCACTGGGTAAGGTTGGACGCAGCTCAAAGCGCAGTGGAAACAGGACAAGCGAGTGCGGTATCATCGCTGGAATACGTACACTGGAGTCCACGACAAAACCATGGGTAATCACCACGTTGACTGGAAGTTGAGGCAATCCTGCATCATCCAGGGCCTCAGTTGCTTGTTGTAGGTCCCCGCGGAGGCATGCCTGGGCCCCTGCTGCTCCGCATGTCTCTGTCACCTGCTCAGTGGCTTCATGCATGCAGCTCTGGCCGTTGGGCTGCAGGGCGCCAGGCCTCAGCCGTTGGGCCCGCTGACGGCGGAGACCCTCCCTGGCGCCTGCGTGGGACAGCAAAAGACTTTGGAACCATCCCCTACTCTGGTCTGTGCCCTCTACTACTAAGCATGAATATTTCTCATTCACTCCCTCGGATAACAGTTCCTTTGTTGTCTGCGACGATTGCAGCCCTTCCCGCTGAAGTGTACGCAAGTGCCTCTCCTGTTGGTAATGCTCATCGTGTGGTTGCCGTCGCCGGTGCAACTTGGGAAAATACTTGGTAAGGAAGCTGTTGGCATCCGATGCCCATTTCTGGATGAACTTGTGGCCCTTAAGCCATGCGGAAGCGGCATCGAACCAAACGTCAAATGTAACCTCACACCACCTTCGCTTCCTCAGCCTGCAAAAAAACGTCAGAGTGATTGACAACTGGAGTTCAGTGACAGCACATCTGTCTTTGCTTTTCCCTGTGCTACATTTGCTGACGCTGCTGTTGCTCTAATTTGCAGCAGTTGACCTCACATCTGAAGAAGGCCTTCTTTCCCATCGGTGGCCGCTTCAGAGGACTCGGAGTACAGCAATAGGTCATTGTCAAGATGCATATTTATCCACCTTCTTTCTTCCGCAAGTCCCTGCATCTGTGCTTTTTCACGATGAGTAGCATCAACGTGTACTTCATGCTGCTCCACAAGAGGGATTGGAAGGCCCCACTGTCTTTGCCGAGAGAGGCACCACGTTGGCGGCCTCGTCTTCAATGCAGCACGCATGCGTTCATATCCAGGAGAGGAACTTGTTGCTGGCCCCACAGCAGTTGGGGCAGATTTACACTGCTCTTCCTGAGTCGGCGTGAGAGCCTGGAGTACATCCGCAGATGATCTGCTGTGCTTCTGCTGCTGCTTCGGATTGCGTCGGCAGGGCAGCCACCTGATGTGCTGCAAGTCCCGGAAGACCTCTGGTAGAAGGCCAAGCACATGGAAGTGCAGCTGGGGAGTCGCGCGCAGCAGCACAGGACACCCGCGGCGTTCGTCATGCGGGAATGGCAGCACAACCTTTTGCTGCAGAAGTAAGCGCATGCAAAACGCAAAGTACACCGTGGCCAGCTGTGACGTACACACTCAGATGCAGTTCCAGTTAGTGGAAAAAGCTGTTTTGGCATCCCCCGCCAGCATCACATCTACTTAAACAAGAAACCTACGCGCCCCTAACCACTGTGTGAGACTCTACATGCCCCTTACATTTAGCAGTAGAGATTTATTGCTGTGCAAATATTCGATAATACACTGTTCTCCATCGCTCATGGCTTCAAGACCTTTAAACGGCTCACTACCGCTGCCTCCCAAGAAGGTTCCTTGGGGTCCCACAGGGCAGAGAAGCGGAGCTCCCACAGCGACTGCTGCTGCTTCCTCTCCCAAAGCGGGGATCAAAGGCACATGCGTTTCAGTCGTGGGATCCGTTGCTTGTTGAACTAAGAGGCCGGGTCCCTGACAGGCTCGCTCACCTGAGGTTAGCACAACAAAGATACCACAGCACGCCAGGGGCAATGAGGAAACTGACTCGATATCTGTACCACGAGCCGTTCAATTCAGGATCCGTTGGTTTCCCGTTGCCTGTTCTGCAGCTGATTGCTCCCGTGAACCCTATGGAGTGCGCTGACGAGAGACTGCGTTGGCCTGCACAGTTGGTGACTGATCCCAAGAGGCTCGGTGCTGGCGAAGTTCTAACACACAAAGGCGATAATCTTCTTGGGAGTGCGCGGGGGCCACGTGAAGAATGGAGGTTCCTTTGTCATCACCAACAATGGGATCCAACAGAACGGGGCAAGTCACTCTGCTCGCAACAGGATGAGCGTACCTGACGAAGAACACCCACGCAGCAATACAGCAAAGATGTCCAAATGACAGGGTCACTAGGAAGGTCAAAGTAAATAAAATACTCCCCTGTGAAGGCCAACTATTCTGCTTAAAATCTTCATACCCAGGCAAGGCAAAAACACGACGACACGTAAGCGAAAATCAACAGGGCCCCAGTAAAGGCACTCCTTACAGTGCCCGCCAGGCACATAGACACACCTTAGACCCTGGAGACGGCTCCCCGGGAGCTTGCCTATCGGGTGCACATTCCAGGACTTCCCTGCACCCTGAAGAGCTTCTAAAAGAGGGGCTACACACTTCTCCCCAACTATCCATATTTCCTCATCTCCTTGCGATCCTTTCGGTGATGCCCTCAAGACCGCGTACTGCGTTGCAGCAGAGAGAGCAAGAGCCCTGTTTGCGGGTATTGTGAACGGCGTGGTCGTCCAGGCGACAAAGAACCAGGGGATTTCCTTTTCGATATAGAAGGGCTTGGCGTCCTCCGAGACTGGACGAGGTCCCGTCATCAACAACTTGAAGTAGAGATGGTTTCTGGATGTAGGCTTCAGCACGACCTCGCTGTCTGAAACTGTGCTCAAACTGGAAGGACTCCAATATACAGGGAAACGCGACGGTGTAACCAGGCCCTAGACAGCAGACAGATGGGACAGGGATAGGCAGACCGACGAGTTCGCAGCCAGTAGACTGGTGCCTATCGCCTTCCCCCTACAATAACCGACTTATGCAAATAATAGGCACTTGTAAGTGACTCTCTGCATGAACGTGCAGGTGTGCCTGCTTCCATTGTGCCTCTGTGCAGGAGCCTTTCTGCCGTGCGTAAGCCCTCGTGCTCAGGTAGTCGCTTAATTGGCTTCCGTGGTGGTGTTGCCAATGCCCACGCTGTTCCATAAGAGCGCAAACAGTTGAAGTTCATAAGCCTTGAAGTCACTATCCAGTGTTTTGTAGGCAGAGTCCCAGTGCGCCCATACGCCAAACCTATGTCAGTATGTGTCAGGCAGACACGCAAGCAGGCAAAAACAGATATGTGCGAGGAGAGAAACATGTAGCAAAAGCAACGTGAAGATAGCATTGGGGGGAAATAAGGGTGGTATAGATAAGCATAGTAAGGAAGAATCGTCGAGAGAGTAAGTAACCGGCACTGTAATGGTGGCGAGGCACGACGCAGAGCAGCCAGATAGTTAACTCTAAGTCCTGCTGAAAAAGCCAGCACGTGACTCACCGCTGAAATGCCTTTCTCTGAAGCGCAGCAAAATGAAGAGCAACTTGGCGAGCTCTGCTGCGCAACTCTTTGGATCCATCACCACCACTGAGGCCTGTGCAGTGGTCGCCTTTTCCTGTAATGCTGGTGCTGCTGTTGTGCTCAATGATGGTCTCACCTGTGCTCGGTACTACCTGGATAGACCCTGTTGCTTCAGCCGTATCTGCTTCTGCTGTTGATGCGGTTGCATCGTGCGTTGTGGGAGCAGCAGTATACGCTGCTGCTCGAAGCTCTATGGGCAATCCGTGACAGTCCCAGCCTGGCAGCATGTGGCAACAACGGCGCTGTAACAGTGCTGCTCTGACAGCAAAATCTTTCAAGCATTTATTAACTGCGTGGCCCATATGGGGCTCCCCGTTAGCATAGGGAGGACCGTCCAATAACAGCATGGTGCTGTCACTGCTGCTGCTACTGCCGCTCGGCGGAGTTAAAGCAAATCCAAGGGTGTCGAGAATTTCATCTGATGGACTGCGCCCTTTCTTGCTACTGCTAATAGCCATGCTGTTCTGGCCCTTAAAGTGCTGTAAGCATTTGTTCATGCACCAAATTTGTAGGAGTAGCTGGTTGTACGTGTCGTGCCGCTGCCACAACCGTTGCACCGCCAGTTCGGACTTCCATATGGGTCCACGATGGCGCAACGACGAACGTGGGAGCAAGACAGTGGAGGAAAAAGCGTGGGAGTTACTGTTGCGGCTGCTGGAGTCATTGCTGTTGCGTGCACTGCTAAGAGTGCTATCTGAATAGCTGGCTGCATCGCCAGCGCTTCTTTTGATGTTCGTCGGCCTAAGGCTGCTGGTGTTGCTTTGGTTTCCTGAATTCGGGGCAAAATGGTCTTCAATGCATGCAGAGGTCAGGAAAGACGGAAGGGCCATCCGAAGGTCACGTTGTACAATGGTGCCCCTGGTGAAGTCGCAACGCCACCTGGGGACATTTGCCCGGCAGCTGCCTGCTCCTGCAACAATCACGAGGTATTTCCCTGCATCTTGGGATAGTGGAAGGCTGGGCAACAACCTTAAAGCGTAGGCACTGAGGGGGGAAAACTGGAATAGCAGCAGCAAGAACAACACTGAGCGAAACCGCCAAAGACGCCGTTGAGGTGGAATCGCCTTGGGGTCCCCATAGTGTTGCTGCTGTGCAAGGTTTGTGCAATTAGGCCCCTCTGCTACCCACAGCGACGACGGCCTTCCCCTGAGGCCCATCTGCCGCGTCACTGCCGACAGGGCCCTCCATGTAGTGCTAAGAGATATGAGAGGGCACAAATCCTAGTGGAGATGACGCGAAAATACTATCAAAGATAAAGTATGAACGCAATGAAATTAGCTGAAAAAGTAATTGGCAAGTGTCTTAAAGATAAAATTAACAAGGCACTGTCGACTGAATGGGGGCTGCCTAGGCTCGTCTGAAAGCTGCAGTGGGGAATTTGTTCCGTACCCACAGGCATCTATTTCAGCCGTTTTTTCTTTTGTACATGGCATCCCACCTTACGAGTTTTGCTTAATTTCCAATAATATCTGTTCTTTATTATATTAACTTGAGATGGCACCCTGTGTCCACGCTAGCTTTAACAGCCCCGCTATGTTTGCTGCTTCTTTTAAATAAGCTTCACGTAAACTAAAGGAACTGGTACGGGTGATAATGATTGCGTAAAGCTACTAGGAAATGTAAAGAACGAATTTAAAACTTACTCTAAGGGCAGGGCTAAACCGTAGAGGGAATTACGAGTGAGAATGTGTGCAAGAAGTGCCGTCGATATTTTCAACGACTGTCGCGAGCTGCAGTTGCGCCAAAATGCGTGGACTACGACTTGCTTAAACACAGCAGCAACTCAATGTGCCGCACACTCCAACATAGAAGGACAAACATGGCTTCGTGGCTGTGTGTACAGATAATGTAGGCAGTTGATGATTGCTTTTGGTTGCGTGCCGGTTGTAAACTAGGATAGGGTAAGGATTCATGTGCCCATTTCATTATTACTTGCCAGCATCACACAGACCATATTGCAACTGCCCTCAGCGTTGCGCAAGCACCGCATGTCTTCGTGTGCAATTTTCAGCCCTGAAAATATCTCGGTTGACCTGTGTCCTGTTGCTGCTCAGTCGAGGCCAACAGCTGCTGTTTCTTATGCTCCTGTCGCTTCCTGTCAGTGCAGCATCGCCCGCCGCCTAAATCTAACGCGTTAGTTGCCTACCCGAGTGAAGAGCTGGTGTTGTGGGACCTGTGCAGATAACAGCTTACGCGTGTGCGAAACATGCTGAACTACACTGTTCCTTGATACTGTTGACGTTATTTGGTCGTTCAGCCTCTCCGATTCTTTTGAAGAAAGTACAAACAGCAGGGAATACTATGTTGCCTTGTTTGGATAAATCTCAAACTCCTGGCTATCAAGGGAAGATGCGCTGATGCACATATAGTTGAGAAATGCAAGACAGAGTGCGTAAACTATGCCACAGTAAAACAAATAGTTGGCACCGCCGAGCACACAGAATATGAAATTTTTGGGCCTCCTTTTTTGTGAAACAGTAAAGATTACCTCATAATTAAGCGAATCCCAACTTTAAGCTGAACGGTTCATTCCCATGCCGTCAGTAGTTCCTGGCTAAGCAAGGATGACCTGTAGACAATCCACGAGGAATAGCGTCACGGAAATGAGCTGCAGAAGCTCACGCAGTTTGTTGTTCTCTTGGCAATTTAACGTAACATTCTCGCTTTCTTTGGCATGCATGAATTGTTTAATGAGTCTTGATGATTTCTGTCTCCTCTGGTGGAGACTTCTCACCACGACGTTGCTGACCCCGGGTATGTCGATTATTCCCGCAAAGCTCTGAAAACATCAATATTAATGCTACAGTTTAATACTTCCCATGCCACTTCCCATGTGTATTTCTCCTGTATAGTTCTCCTCACATGTGATGCGAGTACGTCGTTTGTTTGTAATCGGTTTGTCTATATACCTTGGGGCTGCGTCGGTAGGCAAATATCAGGCTGTTTAGCTGGGAACGAATTCAAGAGTCTCAGGCTGATCGAGCCACGGATTTGCGAGATGAATGCAGTTCTGCAGATGCGCGTAGTGCAAGATTGTAAGAGTGGATTAACACATCAGAAGACGCAAAGGTAAGCACTTTTCCTCAGACAACTGTTGGGAGGAAAAGTGTCAATGTGTAGGGTGAAGCGACTGATGCACAGGCACGTCCTCATACATTTTCAAGCTTTTGCTATGTTCTGGCTCTCTCACCGTCTGTAGTCTAGTTGGGAGAGCGTTAGATAGGAGGTCTAAAGGACCCCGTTTCGATCCCGGGTTGACGCGTTTTCCTCCCCTCTATGCCTCTTACTAGGCTTCATTTACCCCTCAGGTACATCCTGAGCCTCGATGCGCACTTGAATTGATTTACTGCAGCGCCTGCGTCTCCGTCTTCTCAAGAACATTGATTTTCGATTATACAGCACCGTTGCCGCATCTTCCCACTCTCCCCCGCGACTTGAATGGTGATTGCCACAAAGCAATTCTCTTCCCCAAAATATTGGTTTGTGGTATACACCATTCAACATCCAGGACGATTATCATGCTTTCCTCGGGCTATGGACAGCGTCCTGACCTGCGGCTATTTCGTAGAATGGGCGAAGCAACATTCGTGCCCTGTTTATTGCTGGGCCGCCTTGAAATGCATATATGCTGCAACAGGTTAGGAGCACTTGCCTGCCGGCGCACCAAATGGTTTATGCGGAGGCAGCTTGAAGACCCTAACTCTGGGGTTTGGCAGTGCAAGTAGGGAATGTTACGTACGTTAGATTGACGCCGCACAGACAGCTCGGGTGGTGAACCTTTGAGGGGTTGAGGTCTGCCCTCTATTAATCTTCCCAGAAATCATAGGATATCTTCCCTTCTACCAGCCAAATATCGTAGCGATGAGTGCAAGGCAGTGCGTTTCCCACCTACCAAAGGGGTAACGTGGTGGTTATCGGGCGGTTGTTCCCTGAGACCCTTGTCATTCCGTCACGAGTCGCACACAACTTTTTGCGTCTTTCGTCATACATTTGCAAGCCTTAATATGTTATTCCCGGGAAGCGACAAGATTATGAAAACGACCAAAATTGTTTAACCCTTTGGTCTAGAGAGCTAGCCGTCGGATGTGGAAATACTCCATTCAGGTGAATTATCCTATCCTAATGCTGCGGCGTTCCCCAACAAATGTTCGGGCATTCACCCAGTAAAAATGGACAGCAAGGTAACAACTTGGGGTTCATCGCTCTAACCTGCGAGAATCTAGTTAACTAGACTGACGTACGTGCACGAAGCGGTGTGCATAACTCGATTGTTGAGGTCCGTCGACAGCACTGCCCGTCCTACTCTTCAGTCCCGTTCCTCTTCAGTACTATGGCAAGTTAACCGCTACACCAAGACGGGATCATTCTTGCGCAGGACGGCAGCACTACGCACTCATTTGAGGCGTCCGTGTGTGCGCTTTCCCCGTGTCTAGAGAAGTACAAAACAGACGCAGGCAAATTCAAGGTCAACGCCAAGACGCAACTTGAAAAATGCAACAGCATAGACAACTGTTGGGTGGCCCAATACATAGCAAAAACTATAGGTAAGAATATTCAGTTTAGTCGAAATGAACAAGTGTAACACGGGCATCCGATCGTACCCAAGAACCTTTGCATTTCAGTAGTGACAAAACATATAAGTTCCTTTAGTGCAACTGACATTCTCCCGAAGTCTTCAGGAACCGCCAAAAGCGTTGAGCGACTGGAGCCGACGGAGAAAAAATGGCATCCCATGTATTTTAACACACAAGGTCACAACTCAAGGTACGGACAGTCCTACATACGAGCACGCACATGTCTTTGTGCTTACGTGTACAGACACTTTAAAGGGTTGTTTGGAGTGTTTGCTTGCGTACCGTTTGCCAACTAGAAGGATGTAGTGGTTCATGCGTCCACTTCACTAGTCTTTGCCAAAAATCACAGACTTATGGTAAAGAAAAAAGAAGTTAGCGATGACTGCCCCATTAGGGGTCCTGGTGGGGAAATAGAAATACGGAATCTAAAATATCTGTCGTGTCGAACTGCTTTCAATATAATTAAAAATAAATTAACTAGTAGCCAGTAAATTCACAGACTGACGAAAGCAAATAACCCTATCATGGTTGCCTCTGCATGCGGGGAGCGGCAGCTGCTGTTGCAGCTGCACCCCGCCAACAACAGTAGCTCCCCACGCAGCATGCGTGAACCTTTCCGGTCTGCCTGTAGCGGTCGTCGAGAGGAAGCGCGAGGTCGTGTGAGTTTGTGCCTTTATATTCACTGTTTCGCTCCCTCAGATCCAACGAAAATGAGCGTTTCAGTGGACTCTCCCCTCGTCTTCAAGGGCGTCCTGCAGGGCCACACCGACTGGGTGACGGCCATCTCTACGCCCAGCTTCGAGAGCAGCACGATCATATCTTCTTCTCGAGGTCAGAATCATGCTTTAAACGGTTTTTCTTGAGGCTTTGTTCCAACATTCCCGTCTTCATCCACCTCGCATGCGGCGGGGTCTCCTCGCTGTTGCCGACGCTGGTTTGGAGCCTTGGGAATTATGTGGACTCTGTCTGCTATTCGTAGCTGTTTGTATCCTGCTGCGTGTTTTTCATGCCGCTCCATTTCTTTTGAGAGGATCGTTTTCCGCTGTACTCCCAAGTCTAGCCCGGTCATCGGTAGTCCTTCACAGCAGTTGGTGTGGGGTATGGGCCTTTTTCCCAGTATCAAGTGGCCTCTGCATGTGCCGGTAGTTCTTTCGCCTTCTTGCAGCGGTTTGCATCATTTTTCACCAACATGGATGCGTGTATGCTCCAGGATGGCGACGGGGCATGTAGCAGCGGTGAATGGCTGACGCCTGTTTTGGCGAATGTTGTGCTGGCCGAGCAAGGGTGTCAAGCATATCCTTCTCGCCAGGCTCCACTAAGGTGGAGAAACACTGGGAGGAGGCTACAGTGGCACCTACAATGCCCATTCGGCGCACCTTCACCTGTCGTTCTGTTAAGTCTTGGTTTATGGAGCGACATTCCAAAAGGTGTTTCATTCTTTTCTCTTTGTACATGGAGTGTACGGGACGTGCGGATGACACGAGATCCCAGCTCACTTGTAGACCTGCTGGTTGATGCCGCGAGAAATCTCCGAGTGGCGTCGTAGATGCTGCTCCTGAGAGTCCCTTGATTTTGTTTTAAGCCTGTCGTTTCCATCGCTAGTGTTTGCGTGTTACTTCTGGTTTGAGACATCCGTACTTTTAAGAGGGGATGATGACACGAGATCCCAGCTCACTTGTAGGCCTGACGGTCGATGCCGCGAGGAATCTCCGAGGGGCGCAAAGCCGTCTCTCCTGACATTTCCTCTTTAGTGCCTCGCATTGTAGGTAATGTATGGCATATGGCGTGATTGTGCTTTTTGGTGCGGCGAATCGTTTGCAGCAGTTTCAGTTTGCGTTGCATGCCGCAGACAAGAAGATTATCGTGTGGCATTTGAACCATTCTCCTGATACTGAAGGCGTTGGCTATGCACGACGGGCTCTCACTGGACATTCCCAGTGCGTTCAGGATGTGGTGATATCAAGTGACTCGAACTTTGCCTTGTCTGGATCCTGGGACAAGACCCTGCGTCTGTGGGACTTGAACGTTGGAGAAACCGTCCGCACCTTCCAGAAGCACACATCTGACGTCAACTCTGTCGCTTTCAGCGCAGATAACAGACAGATTGTGTCTGGCTCTCGCGACAGAACCGTCCGCCTGTGGAACACCCTCGCAGACTGCAAGTACACCATCGAGGAAGGCCAACACACCGACTGGGTTTCGTGCGTCAGATTTTCGCCGTCGCCCAAGGAGCCTCTTATCGTTTCTTGTGGCTGGGACAAGCTGGTCAAGGTTCGTCTTATTTTCATCCGCGTTGTCTGTTCCGGTGACAGCATATCCCCTCGAATGTTACGGACATCCTCATCAAGAGAGGGGCTACAGGACCACCTATATGTACTTAGCGCACCCTTAACCAATCTCGCCAAGGCCAGTTTGCAGCACAGCGAGACCTGTAATGGGCTGCTACATCTACCGCTTAGTGTCAGCGGCCCGTATGAGAAAGTCTCTAATTGCTGCGCTCATGGTGTCACTTGAGCCTCGTTCGGGTTCAGATGGACTGCAGTTGGTGATGTGATTGTCTGGCGCACGCGCGGATGTCTCGAGTGAAATTTGTCTTTTTGGCTTGGAGTGGTTATTGGTGTTTTCAGGTGTGGAGCCTGACGTCGTGCAAGCTCATAACCAATCTTGTAGGCCACACGTCGGTCCTGTACACAGTTACGGTTTCTCCTGATGGCTCGCTGTGTGCCTCCGGCGGGAAAGATGGAGTTGCCATGCTGTGGGATGTAAACGAAGGAAAGCACCTGTACTCTTTGGACGCGAGCTGCACCATCAACAGCCTCTGCTTCTCTCCTTGCAACTATTGGCTCTGTGCTGCAACGGACAAATCCGTGAAGGTGAGAATTTGCGTCGGTTCCCATATGGCATGTTTTACATCGCAAATGTGGAGGCATCCGTCAGAAGGAAGCGGCGATGAAGATATATCATTCCTCGTATTGACTGCGGCTCCTCGGAGCGAGAGAGTTCGTATGAAAACAAACGAGTTCGTGCCAGAGCCGCTAGTGTGGGTAAAGGGGTCGTGACCCCTTTGATTCCAAGTTGTCCACGAATTTTGTATATGGGGGCCAAATGTGGTATTGGCTACTCGTGTATATATATATATATAA